AACCCTAAACCCTAAACCCTAAACCCTAAACCCTAAACAGACACAAAAAAGATATAAACACACAAACCTTAATTTATGTATAATAAACAGCAGCATTATACAAACCCTACGTAAACCCTCGCCTAGCCTATCGGGGGAGAGAGGCAGCGCCGCTCCTGCTGCTGCTGCTGCTGCTGCTGCCGACGCTCCTGCTGCTCCTGCTGATGCTGCTGCTGCTGCTTACTGTGTCTGTCTATCCTAGCCAATGCTACCTTTTTTCTTTTTTTCCTCTTTTTTTAGGGGAAAAAATAATAGAGAAGGTATTTCAAAATAAAATGGCCACCGAGGGTTTAGGGTTTAGGGTTTAGGGTTTAGGGTTTAGGGTTTGCAAAGAGAGACAGAGAAACATTAAAAGTTAGGGTTTTGATAGAACGACTCTGCTGTCAAAAACCCTTACACAAATTTAATTCTTTATTTTTTTAGGGTTTAGGGTTTAGGGTTTAGGGTTTAGGGTTTAGCATTTAGCCACCCCACACCAGTGTCGCCTGCGGGGTCACTTCCGAGAAACCAGGGTTTAGGGTTTAGGGTTTAGGGTTTAGATTGCCCTTAGCTAGATTTTATTTTATAGAGTTAGAAGGAGTAGTTGCTTCTCGCTAGGGTTTTGCTTTTTTTTCTTCTTGCTGTTGCAGCCTTCCTCTCCTGCTGCTGCTGCTGCTGCTGTTGCTGCTGCTACAGCAGCAGCGCCCGCTGCTGCGGTCGCGGGCTCTGTTTCCTTACAAACTTGAGGATAAAAAAGCAATAAAAAGGAATAAAATAAAATAAATTAATTTAATTAATTAAATAAAATAAAATAAAAAAGAATATTAATAATTATTTATATTAATTTGTATATATTCGTAGACACCTTAGAGGGTTAATAAAGAAAAAAGAAATATATTTCTTTGTCTTTGTTTGTTTCTTAATATACTTTTATTCTTTTTGTTTATTTATTATTAATAAATAAATAAATATTTAGTTCTTTTCTATCTTGCACCTTTATAACAACAACATAGATGGCATCCATAATCTTTGCTAGGGTTTAGCAGGGTTTAGGGTTTAGGGTTTAGGGTTTAGGGTTTAGGGTTTGGTAAGGATCCAAACCCCTAAACCACGAATCATGCATGCATAAATAAATAAAATAAAATAATTAATTCTGCAATCCGCTCGTATACACATGAAGATGCCTGCTCATACCAGCAGCAGCAGCAGCTTCTGCTGCTGCTGTTGCTGCTGATACTGCTACTGCTGCTAATGCTGCTAATGCTGCTGCTGCTGCTGCTGTTTTTCCCTCTTGCATATCATAGGAACAAAGTTGCCCTTAAAGCCCATTGTATTAAGGACGATCGCATAGATGCCTATAACCCTAAACCCTAAACCCTAAACCCTAAACCCTAGATCCTGTGGCCCGCACATTGCGCACACCATAGTAGGAGGCGAACGACAGGCAAGGAAGGGTTTGCGGGCCTCCTTACTCTTGCGGCTTTAAACCCTAAACCCTAAACCCTAAAATATTAACTTGCGACCTATGGTATAGGCTGACTGCAGGGATAGGCGAAGAGCAGCAGCAGCAGCAGCAGTAACAGTAGCAGCAGCAGCAGGCCTTGCAAACCAGCCCAGACCAACACTGCAGCAACAGCAGCAGCAGCAGCAGCGGCAGCAGGAGCTGCTGCAGCAGCTGCTGCTTAGATATAATGGTAATTTACACCTCTTTTTGAGCAAGTGGCTGTTTTATTTTTTCGGCTGAAACGGCTAAACCCTAAACCCTAAACCCTAAACCCTAAACCCTCAATGGCTCCTGGCTTAACGACCCTCTTGGCCGCTGCAGTGTCTGCAGCAGCAGCAGCAGCATTTCCTGCTCCTCCTCTACATCAGCTGCCGCAGCTTCTTAACGGTAGGCCATTTCAGTCTATCCTGCCGCAGCAGCTTCTGCTGCAGCAGCCGCAGCTGCTGCAGCAGCTGCAGCAGAGCCTCCCACAGCTTCCCCTGCTGCTGCAGCAGCTGCAGCAAAGTCTCCCGCAAATCCCCCTTGGGCAGCTGCAGCAACTTACGTCAGGCCAGCAGCAACCAAACCTCCCCAGCGTGCCCGTGCAGCAGCAGCAGCAGCAGCAGTTGCAGCAGCAACAACAGTTGCAGCAGCAGCAACAGTTGCAGCAACAACAACAATTGCAGCAGCTACAGCAGCTACAGCAGCTGCAGCCGCTGCAGCAGCTACAGCCCTTGCAGCAACATCCGTTACAGCAGCAGCAGCAGGAGCTGTTGCTGCAGCTGCACCAGCATCCCCAGTCGCTGCAGCAATTTCCGCCGCAGCAGCAGGAACTGCAGCAGCTCCAGAAGGTGCAGCAGCCACAACCCTTGCAGCAATATCCGCTGCTGCAGCAGGATCAGCTGCAGCAGCTGCAGCCACTGCAACAGCTGCAGCCACTGCAGCAGCAGCCACAACCCTTGCAGCAGTATCCGCCTCAGCAACAGGATCAACTGCAGCAGCTGCAGCCACTGCAGCCACTGCAGCAACAGCAACAGCAGCAGCCACAACCCTTGCAGCAATATCCGCTTCATCAGCAGGATCAGCTGCAGCAGCTGCAGCAGCTGCAGCAGCAGCCACAACCCATGCAACAATTTCCGCTGCAGCAACAGGACAAACGAGAGCAGCTGCAGCCACTGCAGCAACAGCAGCAGCAGCCACAACCCTTGCAGCAATTTCCGCTGCTGCAGCATGATCCACTACAGCAGCTGCAGCCACTACAGCAGCAGCAGCAGCAGCCACTGCAGCAGCAGCAGCCACAGTCCTTGGATCAATATCCGCTGCAGCAGCAGGATCAACTGCAGCAGCTACAGCCACAGCAGCAAGAGCAGCAGCAGCCACAATCCTTGCAACAATATCCGTTTCAGCAGCAGGATCAGCTGCAGCAGCTGCAGCAGCAGCAACAGCAGCAGCAGCAGCAGCAGCTAGAACTCCTGCAGCAATTTCCGCTTCAGCAGCAGGATCAGCTGCAGCAGCTGCAGCAGCTGCAGCAGCAGCAGCAGCCACAATCCTTGCAACAATACCCGCTTCAGCAGCAGGACAAACTAGAGCAGCTGCAGCCACTGCAGCAGCAACAGCACCAGCAGCACCAGCAGCAGCCGCTGTGCTTGCGGCAATCTCCGCTGCAGCAGCCACAGCAGCTGCCATTGCGGGAGACCCCGCTGCACCAGCTGCAGCCGCTGCAGCAGCTGCAGGATCTGCAGCCACTGCAGCAGCAGCAGCAGCCACAACCCTTGCAGCAGGTGCATCAACTGCAGCAACTGCAGCAGCAGCCGCAGCCACTGCAGCAACTGCAGCCACTGCAGCCACCGCAGCAACTGCAGCAGCTGCAGCAGCAAATGCCTGAGCAGCTGCAGGGCCCCTTTGAGCCTCTACAGCAGCCGCTGCAGCAGCTGCAGCAGCCGCAGCAGCAGCAGCCTCTGCCGCAGCAGTTCCAAGATCAGGGTAGATCTTTTTTGTCATTAGGGTATCAGGGGGACAGCAGCGGCAGCAACGACAGCAGCAGCAGCAGCAACAGCAGCAGCAGCAGCAGCAGCCAATTGCCTATCATGCTGCCACCTGTGGGCGTCTTTCCTCTAAAGAATCAATCGGCTGCAGCAGAAGGAATTCTATCAACAGATAAACTCCCTGAGCTTGCTGCTGCTGCTTCTCCTGCTGCTGCTGCTGCTGCTCCTCCTCCTCCTGTTGCTGCTGCTGCACCTATTGTTGCTAGTGCTGATCCTGCTGCGCGATTTGGCACATTTGCAGTCCGAGGACCAGCAGAAGTAGCAGCAACAACAACAGCAGCAACAGCAGCAACCGCAGCAACAACAGAAGCAGCAGCAGCAGCAGCAACAGCAGATCCAGCGGATATATTAGAAATAATTAGCACTCTTGCCCCTTTTCTTCCTGCTGCAGCAGCAAATCAACTTGCTGCTGATGTGGCAAGAGGAAAACCTATAAATGCTGCAGCAACTAAGAGCCTGCTGCAGCAAGCAGCAGCTGCAGCAGCAGCAGCAGCAGCAGCTACCCTTCCTCCTGCTGCCTTCCTCCCCGATAAGGAGGCGCAGCAGATAGCAGATGCTATTATTTCTTTGTCTCCTTTTGCTGCTAACAAAGAGACAACTGTCTCCTTACTGCAGCCGCAGCAGCTGCAGCAGCAGCTGCAGCAGCAGCAACTGCAGCAGCAGCTGCAGCAGCAGCAAGCAGCAGGAAATATAGACAATTCTCCTGCTCTATTTCTATCTCCAGCAGGATTTGCTGGAGAAAACTTTCTTGCCCTTTGAACCCTAAACCCTAAACCCTAAACCCCAAACCCTAAACCCCAAACCCTAAACCCTAAGCTACAAACCCTAATTCTACACCTCCTAAGAGAAAGGTTAAACAAGTATCCAGACAATACAGTCGGTAGAACCTGCTGCTGCTGTTGCTGTTGCTGCAAATGTTGCTGTTGCTGCAGCAGCAGCTTCTGCAGCAGCAGCAGAAGCTGCAGCAGCAGCAGCTGCTGCAGTGTTCGCTGCTATAAAGGGAAGTCCCTATTCCTTGTTTTAATTTCTCTGGGTAACGAGACGCTAATCTCCTGCTGCTGCTGCTGCTGCTGCAACAGAAGCAGCAGCAGCAGATTGTGCTGCAGCAGCAGCAACAGCAGCACTAGCCAGCAGCTTTCTTCTTATCTGATTTCTTTCCTTTTCCTTTTTTCTTTGATTGTTTTGTTTGTGCCTAAAAAGAACAAATAAATAAATAACTAAATAAATAAATAAATTAATTAATTAATTAATTAATTAATTAGTTAATTAATTAATTAATTAATTAATTAATTAAATAGAAATATAATAATTATTATAATTAAATTCAATTAACAAAAAGAGACTCAGCAGCACACAGATAAATACATAAATTAATTTGTGTCCACAGCAGCAGCAGCAACAGCAACAGCAGCAGCAGCAGCAACAGCAGCAGCAACAACAACAGCAGCAGCAGC